GCACGCCGCTCAAGTCGACCACATCCAGCGCACGAACGACACTAGAGGTGGTCGATAACGTGGAAAAGAAGAGGAGAGAGGTAGAGAGCTTCATTGTGGAGAAAAGAGGTGGTTAGCGTTTATCGTACGGTTTAGCTGAAACGCGTCCGCAATGTTGAACCTTGACGCCTTTTCGACCCTGTCGTATACACGTTCCTACTCGTCTTTGTCGCGCAACTCTTCAACGGTCGCGCAAAAAAAACGTAATAGGAGGGGGTAAGAGACGCAAGACAAAGGAGGACGAAAAGGAATGCCTAGCCCCAAAAGGAGTTTGGAGTTTTGCGGTGACACGAGTTGTCCGCCTGTCCAGCTGCACGCCTTTGTCGAACGGCCGTTCCTCGCCGCCTAAATTAACCTTTTTATTTTGGTGCAGGTTCGTAGAACGTCGAATTCGATATTGTTGAAATTCGCATAATTTATCCTTTTGTGGATGACGATTGACCTCATCCTTGGCGTAAACGTTTTTCGCGTTACGTCGCCGTAGTGGGCGTAGAGGACAAGTCGAGTCGCCCACCACCATGGATAACCTTAGGATTGCACACCACCGCTCATAATAAAACAGGTTTCATTAACAAAATACGAAGCATTACAACTAGTCACGTACGAACGACCTCATTAGCATCTTGCTAGCAGGATTCCAAGAACAACACAGCTAATCTTTCCCTTTTTTTTACACCAGCATCCCTCGCTCGCTCGTCTAGCTCTGGTATCCCGTCGCGGGTGGCTTGGGCTCATACCCCGTACTAGGCGGCTCCGGTTTGGGCTCATAACTCGTCGTAGGAGGTTCAGACGGTGGCTCTCCACCACCACCATACCCCTTGGGCGGCTCGGGCGTATAACTATCCGTCGGGGGTGGGACCTCTGGAGGTGGCGTAGGCCTTGGGTGCCTCTTTTTCCACCACAACCCACCGCAAATTCCACAGAGCAAGAGGGAGGCGACGATGGAGAAGAAGACGGAGAGGGTGATGGTGGTTTTGTTGGGCTTGCATTTTTTGGGGTCGAGGTCTTCGCAGGCTTTGGTTTCGACAGCCACCTCTGTCGTCGTTACCGTCACTGTCACGTTACTGTGGGTTCGTTAGA